GCAATTTTTTTTTTTTTTTTTGAGATAAGAGTCTCAAGCTGTCACCCTGGGTAGAGTGCTGTGGCATCATAGCTCACAGCAACCTCCAACTTGGGTTCAAGCAATCCTTTTGCCTCAGTTTTTCTATTTTTGGTAGAGACTAAGTCTCACTCAGGCTGGTCTCAAACTCATGAGCTCAAGTAATCCACCTGCCTTGGCCTCCCAGCTTGCTAGGATTACAGGAGTGAGCCACCGTGTCAGGCCTGCCATTGTTGTTATGTTCACTTGTTCTGGGAAGTCCACCTTCTGAGACTTACGGCAGGCAGAGCCTACCCCCAGTCCCCCACCCTAGGACATTCATGTGTCCCCTGGCAGCTGGGATCCAGTTATGTGACCATAGCTCCACCAACAGGGTATACCTACTCTGTATGGACATTGTGTTATTGGTGGCAGTGGTCACACGTAGCATGGGCAGAGTGGAGTGGTAAGCCACTAGAACTACCACTCCTAGTGGCTAGTGCCAGGAGTGCTCAGTAGTAGCAACAGTTTTTTGTTTGTTTGTTTGTTTGTTTTTTAAGGCTCAGACTCTGTTGACCAGGCTAGAATTCAGTGGCATCCACATAGCTCACTGCAACCTCAAATTCCTGGGCTCAAGCACTCTTCTTGCTTTAGCCTCTCAAGTATCTGGGACTACAGGCACCTGTCACCAGGCCAGGCTAGGTTTTCTATTTTTAGTTGAGACAGGGTCTCGTTCTTGTTCAGTTTGGCCTTGAACTCCTGAGCTCAAGAGGTCCTCCTGCCTATGCCCCACAGAGTGCTAGAATTATAGGCGTGAGCTACTATGCCCAGCTGCAGCAGTGATGTTTTCAGTGGATCTGGACATTGTTCCTGTTGTTTGAGCTTCTAGGCCTGTGTCTTCTTTAGAGAATCTGGGAGCTCCCCAATATCCTTTAAGGTGTGGTTTCTGAACAATGCCACTATTGACAGTTGGGGCCAGATAATTCTTTACTGTGTCTAAGGAGAGCTGTCCTGGGTAGGATATTTGGCACCATCTCTGCTCTCTACCCACTAGATACCAGCAGTAACCCCTTAATGTGTCAACCAAAAATGCTTCCATACATTGCCAAATGTCCCCTGGGGGACAAAACTTCCCTAGTCTCCCTCCTCATTCCAGCCCAACATCTTCCTCTACCCTCCTCTGCTGACAGCTTCTCCTTCTAGACATGATCCTCTCGGGCTGGTCCTGGTTCTGTGCTCTCAGTCTGAGCCTGCTTTATCTCTTCTGATTTCTCTTTCTTCATCTGTCTCTGTTTAAAAGAAGTTGCTTTTTGGCAATCTCTCTGTACTCTTTTCTTGGAAAGCCATACCATCTAAGACGTCAAAGCTAATGACACCTGCCCTGTCACCATCTGGTAGCTCTTTATTGCCTAGGTTTCTCTTTATCCTAAGCCAAACTTGTTATTGCCCACCCTCACACCTATGTCCTGTGTTTCAAACAGTGAGGTACATCTTGCTTAATCCAGCTGAAATGCTTCTTGGAGGAAGTGATACCTGAACTGAATCCTGAAAGATAGAGGGGAAAAGGGAGAAGGGAACAGGCACTGTTAGCAAAGGGCCTGAAAGGAGAGGTGCCAGAGAAAGTAAATGAAAATCATGTGTAGGGTAGACACTGTGGCTCACACTTGTAATCCTAGCACTCTGGGAAGCCAAGGCAGGAGGATCCTTCAGCTTAGGAGTTTAACACCAACTTGAGCAAGAGCAAGACCCCATCTCTGCTAAAAACAGAAAAACTAGCTCGGCTTACTGGCTCATTCCTGTAATCCTAGCTCTCTGGGAGGCCTAGGTGGGTGGATTGTCTGCGCTCATGAGTTCCAGACCTGCTTGAGCTAGAGCGAGACCTCGCTTCTTAAAAAAAAAAAATAGCTGGGTGTTGTGGTGGGTGCCTGTAGTCCCAGCTACTTGGGAGACTGAGACAAGAGAATAGCTTGAGCCCACGGGTTTGAGGTTGCTGTGACACCATGGCATTCTATCAGGGGTAACAGAGTGAGACTCTTGTCTCAAAAAAAAAAAAAAAAAATAGAAAAACTAGGCAGTACCCATAGCTCAGTGGGTAGGGCGCCGGTCACATATACCAGGGCTGGCTGGTTTGAATCTGGTCCCAGCCAGCTAAAGCAATAATGACAAATGCAACAACAACAAAAACAGGCATTGTGGCAGGTGCTTTTAGTCCCAGCTACTTGGGAGACTGAGGTAAGAGAATCACTTAAGCCCAAGAGTTGGAGGTTGCTATGAGCTGTGATGTCACAGCACTCTACCAAGGGTGACATGGAAGGAAGGTATGAAGGAAGGAAGGAATCCTGTGTAAAGATTTCTTCTATGACCTGCAGTAGGTATACAATCCATGGTAGATGTCTAAACATAATGGTTACCTAGTACAGTCCCTTTTCAGATGAAGAGCCTAAGTGCTGAGGAATGACTTTGTCAAATGCTTCTCCACCCTTCAGAGCCAGCCTCTGTCCTCCCAGCCAGAACAGTATGCCATCTAGAAGACATGTTCAGTTAAGTGGGATCCAGGGCCAGAGGGAAAATACCAGTATTTGGTGAGGTTTATGTTCAGTGTAGCTACCATTATTCTACCTTTTCTACTGAGCCTTCATTTGTGTTCCCTTGGGCCACTTGGCCAGGTACCATGGCCTGTGGGAAGGTTTTACTCAGAACCATGGGAATAGTGGGAAGTGCTTTGCTTGCCTCCCTGGCCTCCTAAACCATACGTGGTATTGCCTTCTTTTAAACCCCACCTGTGAAGGTGCTTATGGCAGCCTTCTATAGGAGTTCACTGAGTTACTGAGGCCTGCATTGGGGCCATCACTGGGCCAAAGTGTGTTGTATGGGGAGTTGCTGCCACATCGTGTCAGACTAGCAGACAGTCACATACCAGTGTAAAGAGCCCTGTAAGAGCCGCTGAGAGGTACAGCTGAGGATGGCACCTTCCAGACCAGTGCTAGATCCAAACTAGGGTTCAGTTTTCTATTTCTTTCAGGATGAGACTAATTAGTCTATACCAGCTCTCCATTGTGTAAAAAATGAAGAGAACATTCTTATCTTGTTTCCCAAAATGTAAGACATTTTATTTCTCATTAGGTATACATGTTCATTATACAAACTAATTTAAATAATACTGAAACGCTAAAAGGAAAGTAGGCTTGGCACCTGTAGTTCTGTGAGTAGGGCATCAGTCACATACATGGAAGGTGGTGGGTTCGAGCCTGGCCAGGGCTTGCTGAACAACGATGACAACTGCAACCAAAAAATAGCTGGGCATTGTGGCGGGCACCTATGGTCCCAGCTGCTCAGGAGGCTGAGGCAGGAGAGTCACTTAAGTCCAAGAGGTTGAGGTTGCTGTGAGCTGTGACACCATGACACTCTACCGAGGGTGACATAGTGAGACTTTGTCTCAAAAAAAAAGAAAGTAGGCTCGGCACCTGTGGCTCAAGCGGCTAAGGTGCCAGCCACATACACCTAAGGTGGC